TTAAAAATTCAGACTTTTAGGAAGTATTTCTAATGCCAAAATAAAGGCACAGTTTTTCCTAAATTAAAGTTGATACAGTTAGCAACACTTAGCTATTGGAGTACGTTCTAACCTGGAATCTAACCCATGTCAGCTCACCCTCTGTTGTTCAGGGTAAATTTTCTTGACTGATAGAGATATCCAGTATAATAAGAGCCTGCATGAGTTTCTCCTCACTGTTAACTAGGGAATCTAATTCTGTTAATCCCAGCTTCTGCAAACCCTTGTGTTTTCCTCCCCTCCCTCCCTCTCTCCCTCACCCTTGTCCTTTTACCCCTCCATACCACTCCCTGCATCTCTCTGGTTTTTTTTTTCTTTCCCTATTCTGTTTAAGAAATCTCTTTTTGCTACCCCACTTATCTTGAACCCCAAACCTACTCCCTTTACATTCTGTGGTCACTACACCTGAATCAAGATGATTCAAACTTTAATTTTTAAAAATATACATATATAGGGGGCTAGAGAGATGGCTCTGTGATTAAGAGTGTTTTCTGCTTCACAGAGGACCCAGGTTCATATCCCTGCTCTCACATCACAACTGCCTGTAGCTCCAGTTCTAGCCTCTGCAGGTACCTACACATGTACGGTGCTCTACATACACTCAGGCACACACATAAACATAAAATAAAAATAAATCTTTTTTAAGTGTGTGTGTGTGTGAGAGAGAGAGAGAAAGAGAGAGAGAGAAGCTAGGCATGTGACTCCTATCTGTAATATATAATCCTAACACTTGGAAGATGGAGGCAAGAGGAACAGTAGTTCAAGGTCAGCCTGGAACACATGATTTACCCGATCTCTAAATAATAAGCCTGTATTATTGTTTATATATGAACTGTCCACCAAAAGGGACCATTATTCCTATAGAAAACCTTCTCCTGCCACTTCTTAGGAAGATGAGAGTAAAGGACCTGATTAGGTCTTGCCCTAACAGCTTGTTGACCTTCAGAAGATGATGTAAGATAGGAAGACTCTTCCTGAACAGGGAACAGAGTCCTAGGTTCCAACCCCAGCACCACATAAACCAAGCCTGGTGACTCACATCTGCAATCTCAGTACTCAGGGTGATGAGGCAGGGGGTCAGAAATTCAAGGTAATTACTAGCTACATAAGGCTGGCTTTGGCTGCCTAAGTGCCTAAGACCTTGCAGAAAGAGAGAAGGTGAGGGAGGAACTGAAGGAAGAAGAAAAGGGAAAGGTGGGGAAACAAAAAAGAGAAAGATTCTCCTTGTAAGATGTAGAGATTTGATAGGAGTCTATAAGATAAATGAGGCAGGACTAGGCTGGGAGAATCGGCAGAAAAATATAAACAAATGGCCAGGATAGAAAAAGTATTAGATATTGCTGTTATTCAAATAAACTAACTTGCTCTCTCTGTGTTAAAGACAACTGGATTCTTGGAGACCTGGGGACCTTTGCTGAGATGGGGTTTCTGGAGGAACTCCAGCCGCCCATACTTGCAAACAGTGGCTCCTGGAGATGCGTGCAAGAATGGCTTACAGGAAGTGAAGCACTCCTTCCCTGGGACACGTGGGAGCTCTGCACATCAGCAGAGCCACTTCGCAGCCCAGAAGATGAAAAGCAGAACCAGGCTGCTGCGGCACAACCTTGGGGACAGGTAGCATTCAGCATGGGAAACCACACACTTGGCCTAATCACTGGCTTTCTCACAAAGGACTCGGCAAGGGACTTCCCTTGACCTCAGCGCCTAGCTGATGACTGATTAATTCCAGAAATTGAACAATGACTGTCCCTAGTAAACTGATTGGCCTCCCAAAAGGCTTCTTTTGGGACTGAACTTTTCATGGAGTGGCCAGACTGGAAATTTTCCATAGGTGTGGATGGAAATTGGAGTTCCTGCTGGAGTAGATGTGGAGAAAAACCAAGCCTTCGCGTTTCTTAGTTTTGTTACTATAACAAATAGCTGAAATAAACTACATATAAAGACAAAGGGTCATTTGGGCTCAAGGACTTGGAGATTCTAGTTCATGATCAGGCTGACTCACTGTTTCTAGGTATCTGGTGCAGTGGCCAATGGCAATTGCATGGAGTGTGTGAGTGAGCACGACCACTCTCCTCAACATAATCCAAGAATAAACACAGAGAGGAGAGGACCGGAATTCCACATCCCCTAAGGGCCAGGCCCCAGGGGCCTCTTTAGGGATCTCTAATTCCCCCCACACATACACTAAGCCCCATCTCTTAAAGGTTCCACCTCTCAATAGCACCACCCTGGGGATCCAGTCTAGACCGTGAAGGGTTTCTTGAGGCTGGCCTTTCTAGGGATGGGAAGTTGTGCAGGCTTTCGTCGGGTCATCTGGTCAGGTCAAGAATTGTGGGTATCTTGAAAAACAGCCATTCCTAACAGGACACTGTTAGGAATATTTTCTAACGTGAGCTCTCTGCCGACGCAAAACAATCCCAATCAAATCAAATCAAACTAAATTAAAAGATATCCAGGTTTAATTGGACTCCTGCGCTCTCAGGTGGCCCCGCGGGGAACCGGAAAGCCGCCAACGTGACCACGGTGGGGGGTGGGGACCCACGTGTTTATTTTTGGGGGAGCAGTTTAAATAGCCTCGGGGAGTGGTCTTGGCCTTTTCTGGGGAGGGGTCAAGGTTTGGTGAGCTACCTTGACCCTCCTCAAGGTTCAAGGGGCACAGGGGCAGGGCCTCCAAAAATGGAGGCCGGAGACTGGGATTTACAGACACTGTGAATAGAGTGTTTTCCACCTGCTGCTTCTACAACGTGGGAGTCCATTTTTGTCCAGAATGAGGGACTACTCTCCTTCATAAATGCAAGAGAAAGTCAATGATTCCTCCAACCCATATTCATCTTGAGGTGGAATGCCTTAAACTGAGACCCACGAGTTTCACATAAATAAATGGGGATCTAGTCATACAACATAGTGAAAAGAACTTCAGCTCTACCACTTGGCTTATGAACTTGAAAAGATAATTAACCTCCTTCAGTTCCTCTGCCGTGAAGGCCTCTACCCAGCAGTTTTTATTGTCATCACAGGTAATATAAATAAAGTGTTTGGCCCAGGGCTGACACATGTCAATACATGAGACCCATCATGGTTATTTTTCCTACAGAATCATCCCATGTGGCAAGAACTACTGGCATCATACTCAGCCTTTGACGAAGGAGGACAGTGAAGCTTAAAAGGCTGCAGAACGTGTTCAATCAGTAAGCTGAGGAGCTGAGGTGCCAACAACCATTTCTGTCTGCTTGGATTGCCTATGTTTTTAAACATGTTATGACCACTGACTAACATGGACTACAAAGTCTATACTCAGAAGAGCCATTCATTCAGGGCCCTAGACAGCTGGTTGCATGTCTACCAGACTGTTTCAGACAGCTGGAGCAAATGAAGTCCAGACTGAAGGCATCCATAGGGAGCACTCTCCTGGGTGGGATGGGGAGCACCTCTCGAGCCAATGACTTCTGCAGACTCCTAAAGGATCCTGAAGTTATTAGTTGCAGTTTAGGACTGGCAGGGTGCTCAATGGGTAAAAGCACCTGCCACACAAACCTGAATACTTGGGTTCAGCCACCCCCAAACCCATGGTAAAGGAGAGGAGAGAACCAACTCTCAAAAATTACTGCTGACCTGCACGTGTGTACCGTGGGACACACAACACATAATTAATGTTTTAAATCTTTAAGTATAAAGTTTAGTAGAGATAACATCAAAAATCCAAATCCATCCATTAGAGACACTTAGGTATTTTCTGAAGAGTACATACCAGAATGACTTTTAAGTCATGGTCTTTAAACAAAATATTGCTGGCAGGACCTTTTAGGAACTATATCATACTCTGTAACACTTTTTTCAAAAATAATAAGTGAGTGAAAATAGCCATCACAACACAGAATACGGTGCTTGTGGCATGAAGTAAACACTGTCATGGGCTCTCAACTCCTATGAGAACAGGATACTGAAAGGTCTCTACTTCAGACTACCCTGCTGACACGCCTAACATATTTCCACAGCCAGTCTGCCTAGGGAATGCCTTTGAAGTTGGTGGGAAACTCAGACTTCACAGAGGAACTACAGATCTGTGTCTCTTGTCATTGATAGAGATCTGCATTCATATATTATAACCAATATACTTCACAACTGCAGAACAGCCAAATCTTCCTATCTCAAACCCAAATGTAATTAACTCTGAAGATTACTGTGCACTCCACCTCCATGAAGCCCTTAGCATCTGTCATCCTTGCAGCCTATTCAATTCTTGGTTTCACTCCCATTAAAGGAGTCTCAACACTGTACTTTAGTAGCTAAATCTCACCTACACCCCAATACTTTGTCCCACTTTAATGCCATGTCCCCTCTTGCCCAACATCCTTAAGATCCATCTTCAACTGTAGTAATGTATAAACCCCTTCTCTCTATTTCCTGCGGTAGTTCTTCACTTAATCAAAGACAGAGTCAGGTAATGCCACTGCCTGCTGATAGATTCAGCAAATAGTTACCTTTTAGTCTTGCCCTGGTCACCCCAAAAAAGGGAGATTTAGTAAAATATGATTAAATGATAGTTGTGTTTTAAGAAATAAAATTTTAGTATAGTTTTCCATAAGCAGTGACGTAAGCATACAAGTAAATGCATCATAACGGTAAACGCTGAGTTTGAGTCCTGGCTGAGTTTGAGTCTGGTTTCCACTAACCAGAGCAATGGTTCTGCAAGGCATGGTGAGTGCATCTGTAGTCACAGTCCTCCAAAGGCCTAGACAGAACCATCTGTGTGGCCAATGTAGGCTACATAGGGAAACATTGTCTCAACACAACAAAGCAAAGCACTTGTTCAACAACTATCCACCTGCAGGACACTTTCCCACAAATGTGCCCAAATACCCCTGGGCGACCATTGTCAATTAAATTATGGGCCAGGCAGCTCCCGTTAGGAACAGTTCCAGAATCTGTAAGCATCCACAAACATAAAGGATCTCTTTAAGTAAGATTATGAAATGTAATGTTTAATATTTTTTAAAAAAAGAAATTCCACACCAAATCACAAATTTCATAAAGCCATCACATACCACAGATACCACAAATAAACTCCAAACAATAATTTTTCAACTGATTCACTTCATGAAATATTCTCCTAAGCATTTCCCTGACTTCTTGGCTGAAGAATCTTCGATCAGCTTCTCATATCAGATCAATTTGGGGATATCATTTTTCTGAAAAGAAAATAGAAAGAACTTATTTTATCCTGTGGTATAATCCATGTGTTTTCACATATTTGTCCCTTGAACTCTGGACTTTTGAAACATGTTATTGTTAATGTGGTATAAATATTTAGGAATACTGGCAAAGTTGTGGAGACCTCTCTCAGGGTCTCTTTCATGTAGAAGCTACAGATATCAGGACATAACAAATTTCCTTTTGTGTGTGTGACAAACTTAAATATGTTTTGGGTTGAGATGTATGAGATAGTCATAGTGTATATACTGTTAATTTTCAGAATATTACTGATAGAAGAAAAATTTCAGTTTTAATCATTGATAAAACCAAAATCTTCAGCTGGGCAGTGGTGGCACACACCTTTAATCCCAGTACTCGGGAGGCAGAGGCAGGCGGATCTCTAGGAGTTCAAGGCCAGCCTGGTCTACAAGAGCTAGTTCCAGGACAGGTCCCAAAGCTACAGAAAAACCCTGTCTCAAAAAGCAAAAAAGAAAAAAGAAAAAAAAAAAGAAAAAAAGAAAAGAAGAAGAAGAAGAAAAACACAAAATCTTCCTTTTACGATTGTACTCATGTGATGATGGAAAGGATTTCCTATATATTGCTTTTTGTTTTGTATATTTAAAATACTATTTTCTACTCCATACATGTGCACAACTTCTGGAGCTGGGCATCTTAAATACTTTTAACCTCTGGACTTACAGATGTTCCTATCACCTTTGAACTAAAAAACAAAGGCAGTGAAGGACAAAGGACACCTGTGGTCTCGTTTCCCTTGTTGGTTAGGGAGAGAACGGAAAGTAAGGGGAATGTGCGCCCCTTTCTTTCGTGTGAAACTCAGGACAGGAAATCAAGACCACAAAATAAAGTCTTACTCTGTTAAAACTAAAACCCAGCACATTAAAAGTCATGGTAAATGGCAGTTAGATGAAACAGTCCTCCGTTAGCACCTCTGACCGCTGTCTAGGGCCCAGAGGGCACCATACACTATCAAGAACCAGGAAAGTAGCAGAAATAAGAACCGGAAGTCAGCCGGGCGGTGGTGATACACGCTTTCAGTCCCAGCCTGGTCTACAAGAGTTCGTTCCAGGACAGCTAGGGCTGTTACACAAAGAAACCCTGTCTCGAAAAATCAAAATAAAATAAAATAAAATAAAATCAGAGGCCAGAGTAGTGATAATAGTGTGTAATCCAAGCCTGGAAACAGAGGAAGATTCAGACCTGACCTCCATCAGCAAACAGGAACAGCGAGTCCTAGGAAACACAAAGAACAAAGCCCAAATGGATCAGCTCCAACTAGCTCCATAGAAGGATACAAGGCACGAGGCAAGTACTTCACAACAGAGCCCAGGGAGGGCCACACACGAGAGCCCTGGAACCAGACCTGCTCCTTCAGCTGCTGCTCCAGGAAGAGTCTCAATGCACCAGAACCCGATTCACAGTCAAGGGAAACTCTTTGAAATCTGTCGTTCACACTTGTAATTACATCTAATGCTCACTAGGAAACTCGTTTACCACAACGATGCTTTGCTTTTTAAAACTATGTCTCTAAAACAGAGGCGCCATCGCATTTTACATGGAGAAATACGAAGCAAGGGGAACACGAAGTAATTTCCGAAGGCCACCTAGTCATGACCGCGCAAGTAGAACTCCGGAGTTCACGCTCCAACTCTTATGCCTATTGCCCGTAGCAGCTTGATGAACTCTCAGTCTCTGAGATCAGTAGTTTCATATATTTGGGTTGACCCTTCTCCGTAGAAAATCTTTCTCTGAGTTAGGGTTCAGTGCCCTTCAGGATAAACAAACCACCCTGACTTCAGGGTTGTCTTCATTGCACCGTTGAGCCCAAAGCCACGGTGAAACACCCAGAGGGTTTCCATTATGTTCGTTTGCTGTTTGTGTGTTTGTTTGTGTCGTCACCATCAGCAGCAAGTGACATCCATGACAGATTTCTAAGAAAATGTGGCTTGCTCTCCCAGTGTATTCCGTGTAGCTTGCTTCTCACAAAACAGAACCCAAATTGCTTCAAGGAGGGACTTACTGGAGATCAATGTGTCTGTCGTGACCTTTGGAACCCACACTGGGGCTATGCTGGCAGCAGCCACACCATTCCCTCTGCCCCGTTAAAGAAGCCGGTGATGTAGTTTGAGGGTGTGTGCTCTCCCAGCGCGACTATGCATTACACATTCTAATTCATGGGAAGCCATTAGGAAATCGTTGCACAGAACCCTGTAGCAAGCCCTGCAAGGTCTCCAGATTCCATTCCCAAATGTCTGATACGAACTTTGAAAACTACACTGACCCTTCACATCCTTTGCTTTCTGCAAAACTAAACAGGGTGCAGCCCACCGTTATTGCACACAGGCTCGTATTATTGTATTGTTATTAGATAAAATGTCAGGGTTACTCCCTGTGGAAGAGGAGGCAGAAGCAGTGGAAGAACCAGAGGGAATAGAGGATGCCAAGAAAACAAGGTCCTCTAAGTCAGCACAATAAAAGCTCAAATGAGCTCACAGAGACTGGGGCAGCATGCACAGGGCCAGCACGATGCACGGGGCCGGCACGGGTCTGCACCAGGTCCTCTGTGTATAGATTATGGCTTCCAGTTTAGTGTGTTTATGAGATTCCTGACTGTGAGCAAGTAGTTCTCTGATTATTATGCCTTCCCTTGGGTTCTTTTTCTTCTGTTTGTTTGTCTTGTCCAACTGTGATGTGACCGTTTTTGTATTATCTTGTTACATTTTGTTACTTTGTTGTATTTGATTATTCTCCCTTAGAAACCTGTTCTTTTCTAATGAGAGGCAGGAAGGGTGGGGAGGATAAGGATAAGATGGGAGGGGAGATGGGGAGGAACTGGGAGGAGCAGAGGAAGGGGAAGCCATAGTCAGAATATATTATGTGAGAAAAGAGTATATTTTCAATAAAAGGAAAAAAAAGAAAAAAATGTCAGGGTTACTGCCTTAGTTGGAAAACATCTATCCTCTCTCTTTGATACAGAAGCTTCAGATGTATTTTTTTTTTTGCTTGAGAAAGCACTCATGTTAATGAACTCTCTGCCTTGTTAAGTCAGCCCCTCCACTGCTCTCATAAACGTTTCCCTCTGAGCTCTTGGAGACAGAGCCGGAACTCCAGTGCCGTTGCCGACATGGTGCGCATGGAGTGAGCTGGAGGCCCTGCCAGCCTGCTGATGTCCTCCGAGGATCTGGTCCCCTGGGTACCACAGCTGATGAGAAATACCTACAGAGCCACATTTGTTCCTAAGTGTTTCTGCTTGTCTAAGGAATCCCATCCTCAGGATTAGTTCCGTAGCTCGTTTTATTCTCAACTCCTGGATGAGGATGCCTCAAAGCCTCAGGACGCCAATTCCTGTAAGTAGAGGGCTCTCACTCCTAGCAAGTGAGTACTAGAGATACTGTGTCTCTTCTTCATCACTCACCTACCTCTCCCTCATCCTACCTGTCCTCACCCAAGGGTGCTGGATGTTTGATCAGCTTACCACCAAACCGTGTAGATTAGTGACAACAAATATATATTATGCAGAGGACCGAAGCAAAGGCCAAAATGGGCTTGAAAGTAAATACTGGTGCTGCGGGAGCTCCTCCCGCTCCTTCAGCCAATAACCGCTGAGATACCAGCCCACCAGGGCGTGGTCTCTCTCTCTCTCTTTAAAAAGCAGCAGCAGCCCTCTGCTTGCTCTTTTGCTCCAGTGACTAGACTCCTTTCCTGGCTGTTGTGTAGGATGGTGTTCTGTAAGTTTTTCCCTCTCAAATAAATAACCCTTTGGACCCAAACTGATGTGGGATTGTTTCACGCATTATACTATCCTCACGAGGTATACTTTGGACCCTAACTCATTCATTAGAAATTGTCCTGACCAGCTAGCTAAAATAATTATATATAAGAATTTCAATATGGATAAAATATTTTCCTCTTATTCCTAAGCTGTGTAGGAACAAAAGCATCTACATCTATATGGGAAAACAGTATTTTTAGAGTCTCAGGCAGAGCCATATTTAAATCTGAAGGTCAAAACCGGCACTCAAAATTAGGGCTCTCTCCCTGTGTGCATGTTTGCTTCCTTTAACCTCAGCTTTCCTGGATAGTAACTGAGAGGACTTACAAGATTCAGGTCAATGAAAAAAAACTGGGTACTCCCTGGCTGTAAATAGGGAGTGTGCTCTTCAGAGGAAGGGCGGGTCACATCTCTCATTACAAAACTCAGCAGCAGCTCTCACCCTTCCTAATGCCGCGACCTTTACTACCGTCTCTCACAGTGTGCTGACCCCGGCCATAAAATTGTTTCCGCTGCTCTTCCAGAACTGCCATTTTGCTACTGTTCTGAATCCTAACGTAAAGCTCTGCTCTGCGACCCCAGAGGGGGCACAACCCACAGGTTGAGAACTGCTGCCCTAGAGGCTAAGAGATGGCTCAGCAGTTAGGAGTACTTGCTACTCTTCCAGAACCAACTTTAGTTTCCAGCTCACAACTGTCAGTAACTGCATTTGGGGGAGATCTGATGCCCTGTCTTCCGTGGGTTCCTGCACACATTTGGTGTACATGTGTACACACAGGTACTAACACTCGCGAGAGCTCTCCTCTTCTGCTGATGAAGAGCTCTCCTCTTCTGCTGCTCTGTTCACACTTTCAAGCCTTAAGCAAGTTTCTCCACTGTATGGTTTGAATATGAATTTGCACACCCCCCCCCCCACCGCCTCCATTGGTGCATGTTTCTAGACATTTGGTCCCCAGCTAGTGAGGCTTGGGGAGAGGTTGTGGAATCTCCAAGGGAAGAGTCAGGGATAACAGAGGTGGTTCACCCTTTGAGGTTTATATGCCAGCTTCCCCTCCACCCTAAAGTCTATTTACTTCCTGATCTACAGCATGGAGAACGAGCCACAATCTCCCACTGCCGTGGGTTGACCCATACACCATGCCTTTCCTGCATAAAGGACTGGAGTTCCTGAAACCATGAGCCAAAAAAAAAAGAAGAAGAAGAAAGAAAAGAAAAGAAAAGAAAAGATAAGAAAAGATAAGAAAAGAAAAGAAAAAGAAAGAAAATCCATCCTCCCATAGCCAGTTTCTGTCAGGTGTTCTTCATGGTAGGAGAAAGGAAGCAGTTAGGGCCCGCAGAAGTGTGTTACGGCACAAAGGCAAAGTCAGCATTCACGGGCACTTCTAAGAAGCTTGCATTGGCCAGGTTGGGCCCTAGCCCTAATCTGATTTATTCAATATGTAAACTAAAATCGTTGATAGAACATGCTTCAGTTAGAATTATTTAGGTCAAAACTGATAGAGACCCAACCAAAAAAAAAAAAAAAAGGCATCAACAAAAAAAAGAAGACTGCAATAGCTCAGACGGAGTCGTGTTCACAATTTGAATGGTCTCTGGTTGCTAAACAACTGCTAAATAACAAGATAAAGGCCTCAGGATCTTTCCATTTGGGGTTTTTCATTCCTCTGGGGGTCAACTTTTGTATGCACATTTGTCCTCCACAGTTGCAAAGTGGCCCCCCAAAGAGAACAGGCAGATGAAGGTTTGTCTTCTGTTCTGAATCTCTTCTCATCTGAAAGAGACATTCCTAAAGCTTCCTTGGAGCTCCCACAGTCTCACTGCTCAGAACTTCTGTGTGTGTCCTCTCTTGCCCTCGCTGCTGACAAGGAACATGAGCTTTCTCTACTTAGGCTAAACCAGTTACGAAAGCAGCTCTACTCAATCACGGCACCGGTGAATTAGCCATCAGTACCAGCCATGTGCTATGCCAGGTTTTGTCTCAATCTGGATGTTCATGGACTGTTCCTGGGTTTTTACTCAGGCTTGTTGCATGGCTGAACATTCAGTTTATTTCCTTGGTGCATAGGTCCTTACTATAGAATTGCCCATGTCTTGAAGCTACTTGTATGAGTGTTTGGTGTCTTCCTTTAAAAAATCAGTTCAGCTGAGAGGCCCAGAATAGAGATGCTGGATGAACTACAGATTGCTTTATGTGGTGCTTAAATACTGGGTTGCAAAATGATCTCTTTCAATTCTTTGAAGTAACACCTAAAAGTCAGAATATGATAGATATTTTTTGAAACACAGATTCTTTTCTTGAAAATTTTTATTAGACCAACTGGGCCTCCCTACCTACCCAGTGAGCACCCTCTGCTATAGAGTGGTGGGGCCTTCTATGGGCAACTTGTCACAAACCCCATTTTGGATTTTGTCGTTTGCCTGGGTCACCCCTAAGTACTGGAGCTCAGCTTTAATGGCAACTAACCAAAAATATCCGCACAGTTGCTCAGTGAACCTGAATAGAGTAAACCCAAGAGTCAAGATGGCTCAATCTGAGATTGAGAAACAAATACATAGACAGAAGAAGAAACTCACCAGGGGATCTGAGCCCATTCCCTAGGAAAAGCATCTCAAAATTCAGCCTGCTCCCCCCACACATCTTGGGAAGCTGGCCAACCCTGATAGGAGAGAAAGAGGAGAGAATGAAGCTTCCCTTGTTCCTTGGTCTAGTCTACAACAATCGCTGTGTCCCAAGAGGCCCGGAACAGTGGATCTGATTACCTGCTGATCTCACTTTCAGCTTGCAGAACAAGCCAGCTCCCGCTAGTGACAGTATACAGTTACTATCTGCTCTGCTTGTCGGATCTTACCGCAACCTTCTCTCCAGGAATTTCTTACTTTGTCTGCTGTCCCCTGAACACAGGCACACTTCTCCTATCTTGATAGGCCTGGTGGCAGGTGGCCCAAGGAGGACTCTGGACACCGTCTCAAAGAGATTAGTGTTTCCAGCTTCCTACTTTTCTCAAGGTCCACATTTCCTTCCTTTTGTAAACTCTATACTCAGGATTATGCCCATTTAAACACATCTTTCTTCCCGAAGGTCAGGGTCCAAGACAGGCAAGTCTAGAAAGGATATGGCTACCAGTTATTTCAGTAGGTAGCTGGCCAATTCCAAACTGAATTAGAACCAAAATGAAAACTTCCCAGGATTGCAATCCAGAAATAGCTCTTATTCAAAATAAATAAAAATGTGCCTAGGGGCTGGCAAGAATTCTCAGTGAGTAAAGCATGTGTCACAAAAGCCTGGCCTACGTTGGAATCCTCAGAACTCATTTAAAAACCAGGCAAGATAGTGCACATGTGTAATTCCAGTTCCCCTAAAGGGAGCTAGGGAGTGGAGATGGGCGTCTCTAGAAGCTCACATGCCACCTTGGCATACACAGCAATGAACAAGAGACCTTGACGGAAACAAACTGGAAGACAAGGGCTGGCACCGGAGGTTATCCTCTGGCTGCCACATGAATTCTGTGGCATA